CCCCAAAACCCCAAAACCCCAAAACCCCTTTCATGACTTAATTTCCAGCCATTAAATCAGAAATAAAAAACGTGATATTTTAACTTAGATGCCTAAGTATGTTTATTAAATCATAAAATCTAATCTTAATTTAATTTTACAATGGAACGTGCGTCATCAAATTTATCCCTGTTATCTAGCCATCTCAATCCTCAATTCTAATCAAATCAAGTCTCTAAGCTTAAGCCAGTAGACGATGTTTGGGAGAGTCTCAAAATGGATAGCTACCTCACTCCTGAGAAAGTCGAGCTCAGAAAGAAGACTAGAGCCTTTATGGAATCTATAGAGAAGGAGCTTCATGATTATATTAACAAGACTGAATTCCCATTCCACTTAGTTCCTAAAATTGCTCAATTGGGCATCAACGGGCTACAAATGAAGGAGTTTGGAGCACCAGGGCTTACTAGCGTTGAGACTGGCGCTATTTTATTTGAGATGGCTAAAGTTGATATGTCTGTCACAACTTTTCTTATGGTTCACAACTGCATTGGAATGTCTGTGGTTGAATTCTTGGGAGATGACGATCAGAAGAACAGAATTCTTCCAGACTGCCAAGCTCTCAAGAAGGTCATTTGTTTTGGCTTGACTGAGCCAGATTATGGATCAGATGCCTCCAGTCTGAGATCCAGCGCTAAAAAGGTTGAAGGTGGTTACCTCCTTAATGGAAAGAAAAGATGGATTGGCAATGCTACATTTGCTGACTACATTATCATTTGGGCTAGAAATGAAGCTGATGGAAACAGAATATAAGCCTTCGTGGTTGAAAAAGGATCTAAAGGTCTAAAAACAGAGAAGATTGAGAACAAATATGCATTGAGAATGACTTAAAACGCTGACATCACGCTAGATAATGTATTCGTACCTGATAACAATAAGTTAGCCAAAGCCAAAGATTTCTCATCTGCTAACTTGATTCTTGAACATTCAAGAGTTGGAGTTGCATGGACAGCAACCGCTAATGCTGTTGGAGCATATGAGGCTTCATTGAGATATGTAATGCAAAGAAAGCAGTTTGGAAAACAAATAGCTGCCTTCTAAGCAACATAACTTAAACTTTCCAAAATGCTTGGTCAATGTGAGTTGATGCTCTCTCTTTGCATGAGACTCTCTCAACTTGTTGATTAAGGCAAAACTACAATTGGATAGATTGGCAGAACCAAGGGTATCTGCAGTGCCATCGGAAGAGAAGTATGTGCAACTGCTAGAGAGATTTGCGGTGGAAATGGTATTCTGCTTGAAAACAGAGTCATTAAGAGCATGTTGGATGCTGAAGTTATCTACACTTATGAGGGAACATATGAAGTTAACATGCTAGTCTCTGGCAGAGAAATTACTGGAGGAATCTCTGCCTTTAAATGATACTAATAGCTCACTAAAGATATTAAACTCATTTTATCAAACATTAATGCTTATCGTGAAAATATCGAGCTTGGGGTTTTGGGGTTTTGGGGTTTTGGGG